TGCTCCATGTTCATTGACCTTACGACACTTTTTCTCCATACATATGAGTGATGTGCTTTGCAGGGGCGGAGATGCACTTGCACTTAGTATTACATCGTGATACATCTTGGAGGTTTTTGAATGAAGTTGATAAAGGTTTTTGGCATCTTGTGGGTTACCCCTCCCACGGTTGAGATTTTCATGAGCTGTCATATCAAAGGAGAGAGGGTGGTTCAGGGAGTTAGACCAATTTGGGGAGGGACCCTTTTTGTAGGGTTATGGTGCATTTGGTTTCGAGGAACCATAAGATTTTTCATTGGGCTACTTCTTCCCAAGAGCTAGGGGAAAGGGCCACTTTTTTGGCAACATTTTCGATTAAAGCACACGGCTACTATTCTACCACAAGCATCCCTGATCTCCACCCTAATTGGGAAGCTCTTATCTCTAGCAGTTAGACCATTGTTTGTTTGCAATTCTTTATTTATTGATTACTTGTCTATCATTATGTGGAGGATGTCTTATTCTCCTTGATTGTATTTTGTTTTCCCTTTACCATCACTGATAATATTTCTTCTCTTATAAAAAAGGCTACTAACTAAATAAGATATATGATTTTTTTTTGAAATAATCGATAAGATATATAATTTTAACAAAATATAAGGTCTTATAAAAGTATTAAAATTATCGTAGTAATTCTATGTTAGTAAAAACCACTAGATTGTCCAATGTTAATTTGCTTTAGCAAAATTTTTCTTTCCCGGGGATAAAGAAGCTTTTTGTCTATGAACCCATGGAGCTTGTACGCAGTGGCAATCCTGCTTGGAACATCAGCTTCTCTAGAAATCTTAATGACTTTGGTGAAGCTGAGTTTTTTAAATTGATAGCACTTCTATCCAAGTGTTGGATTGAGACCTCTTTCGGTCATTGTCCTTTGTGGCCCCTGGCTAAAGATGGGAAGTTCTTTGGCAAACCCTTTGATGGAAAAGCAAGTCTTTCCCCACAAGTTTTTTTTTTTTGTTTAGGAAGCATCTTGGGGAAGAATCCTCACAATAGATAAGGAAGAGAGGAAAGATTCTACTCAATGGGCATTTGAATGAGAAAATCCCACAGCCTTGAATTATATTCTTCTATGATGCTCAGATTCTAGAAGGCTGTGGGATTTTGCTTTATGCCTCCTGAACTTGTGTGGTGGTTGGGTCCATCAAGCAGGAGATTTTGGTTTGATATGGTGTTAAAGCTTGTAATCAAGGAGAAAACTCCTCAATCTCATTCCTATGTCTATTTTGTCGGTCATCTAGAAAGAAAAGACAAGCACATTTTTCAGAGTACTAGCTTTCTTTTTGATAGGATTCATTGGTTCCAGTCCCGGAGCTTTTTGTTGACAGTGCTTCTATTCTTGATGATGGAGAGCTGGAGAACCTTATTGGCATTTTGACTTTTATATGTAAATATATTGTTCTTAGGTTGCATCTTTTTGGTGCCTTGTAATAATATATATCATTTTTATGTTAAAAAAATCTAGTTTGTGTAACCTGTTGCTGTATTCGTCTTTTCTGCTCATGATGTCATTGTCTCTTTTATATCTCATAATCTATTGGCTCTTTATTGCTTAGACAATCTGGTTAAGAGCAGCATGTGCATGTTATCATGCTTCAAGAGGTATAATTCATTGTATTTTGGTTCTTATATCTTACAATCTATCATCTCTTTTGATATGTTGGGCAGTCTGGTTTAGAAGGAACATATGCAAGTTATTATATTTGCATTTCGTTTATGATTATTGTCTTTGCTTTTAGGTAACAGGGCTATGCAGTCAAAGCTATACTCTGATGCAATTGAGTTGTATTCTTTTGCAATTGCACTTTGTGAACAGAATGCTGTTTACTACTGTAACAGGTGTGTTTTAAGTTTTACACGTAAATAATTTGTTCTCTATATCCTGAAAAAATCCACTGTAAATGCAATATGTAATGTCTACGTTTCTTTTACATGACTAGTTTCTAATGAGAAAGAATTTCTTCAAAGCTTTTTGATTTCAGTTTACTAATATAAGTTTCGTATTATCCTTTTTGTTATAATAAAATCATGAAAGTCTGCTGGTTTTTAGGTTTTTACTTTGGGTAAAAGCGCTTGAGTTTTACCTAATATGGAAAAACCTTCTATTTTCAAAATCAGAATATTTGCACGAAATGTACATTTCCCGAAAGTTTACTTCAGATGTTAAATGCAAACCAAAAATCATGAATGATCAAATTGCCCATGCTTATAGACACCATTCTTCTTTTGGAAATTTAAATTGAGCTCTCCCTCCTTTTTTTTTTTTCTTTTTTCCTTTGTTTTCCTTATACCTATATATACCAAACCAGTCTCACACACCTCTATCTTCCCATGTCAGCAACACACGCTTTTTCTTCCCTTTATTTTGTCTTCTCTCTTCACAAAATAAACCCACTCTCTTTCACGATGTCATCTTCGACAATGGAGCAAGTATAAGTCATGGAAGGGGCCACATGGTGGGTGTTGGTATGACATTGTAGATAGTGGATGTGCAACAAAGGTGCAGGCAGTCAAAGAAGTGATTACTTTGGTAGATATGGTGATGAAAGTGGGTTTTTGGCCAAGAATATATGGGGTTGATGGCGGTCTTGCTTTGGCTTATTTTTGTGGTAATGTTGTAGGGAAGGAGGATGGAGGCCTAAACTTAGTGTGCACGCAACCTGACGGTGTTTGATGATTAATGGTGGTTGTTAGGTCTGGGTCAAGGAGAAAGGTTAGTGGTGTGGTTTTCTGGCTTGGTGATTGGTGGTGAAAAATTATAATAGTAGACTTAAGGAACGATCCTTCTTGTTTCTGTTTGTGCTAACTTGCATGTTATTTTCTAGTGTTGTACTGACTCGCACATTATTTTCATCTCTTGCTGTGTTGATGACTTGTTTTTTTTTCTTTTTGTGTCATGCTATGAATTGATCCAACAACAATTCATATTATTTCGTGTTGTCATTGTGTTTCAAAAGTCAGATCAAATGTGTCACATCCAGGTGGCGCTTTAATTGTATGTGTCCCCACAATCTCTAAAAGATATGTCTCTGCATGTTCTAAGCCGTGGGTTTTTTCTTTAACTGTCATCCTCTTTTAACTCTGGTTTTAGCATGGATTTGAGGAACCTGTATATATTTTATTTTCCTTTCACAGTGTGTAAAAGCTTTTTTTTTTTGGTTTTTATTTTGTTAGCAGCGGAAGTCCCTTCGTGCCTTTTTCTATGATTACTCCTTTTTCAGAAAAAGAAAAAAGAAAATGATGTTGAATGTTTCCGACCCACCTTTATTTTCACACACAAGAATTTGCATGATCATAACATATTGCTTTTTCTCTGTAGCATTAAAATTTATACTCTACTCTTTGTATTGGATTGAAAAATGAATACAGTGGAAGCATGTGAGAAAGAAAATGAACATAATGTAAAACAGTATATGAAGAAAAAAAAGAAAACAAACTGTTAAAGATATAATACAAGAGAACACATTATGACGCAATACGAAATGACACAAAACAAGATGAAATTTCAAATTCCAAAGCAAAATTTTAAGATTTAATCTTAAAACTTGCAAAATAAATTAAATTTTATATGAAGTTTTAATGTTAAATATTGGAAAAAATACAATATATACATTTCAATCTTCAAATGATAAATGAATCAAAAGATAAAAACTTGAAAATTTTAAATTTATTTCATGTAATTTTAAAAATTAAAATATGTAAAAAAATTTCTAGAATATCTTTCTAAAAGATTATAAAATATATGTAGTTTCAGATAAGGAAAAAAAAATGAAAGAGTCATGCAGTAGACATAGTCCTACTCTCTGCTGCTATGGCGTGCCATTTTTTATTGGCACAGGATTAGGCTTTTTCCACCTCTATGTGGCAGTGGGTTTATGGCTTAGTGTCTGGTGACAGGTGTAGTGAGTGGAGATTCCTTCTCCTCTTACCTTTGAGGCCATTTGATATAGCTCTGAACTCGGACAAGTGTCAGAGCCAAGAAATGCCTGATTTGCTGATTTAGCCAGGCACCTTTTGTCAGTTTTATTATCAAACTCTTGATAGATAAAGTATATTTCTAAGAAATATGCTGAGGTGGTATTGTAAGTTAATGGAATTACTAAAAGACTTGGATGGATGGGGCGAATCATATTTATGCAAGGTCTTTTAATTCTAAAAATGGGAGGCTTTCTGCATATTAAGGTAAAATAAATGGCGCTTTTGCAATTTACCTTTTCATTTGTTGGTTAAGAGTATCTAACATGCATGTCAGTTGGTATGCTGTTTGTGTCCTTCAAAAGATGTCTGTGTAATCAATCTGTCAAAGGTGCAGAAACAGGAAATACAGGCTTCCAGCATTTCTTATTCCCTTTTATCTAAAAAGATCATAACTCTCATTATTAAGATAGGCACCATAAAATACTTTCCACAAAAAAAAAAAGATAGGCACCATTAAATTTCTACTAGAATCTAATGCTGCTGCAATGAATTTGAATATTTTCAAATATTTACCTTAATGATATTGCAGAGCCTAATTTATCTTCATGTTATGTTCCTGCCAGGGCAGCTGCGTACACACAGGTGCACAAATATATAGAAGCAATCAGTGATTCCCGTAAGTCCATCGAAATTGATCCCAGTTACAGTAAGGCATACAGTCGTCTTGGCTTGGCTTATTATGCTCAAGGAAATTATGCTGATGCTATTGAGAAAGGATTTAAGAAAGGTAAGTTTGGAATTAATTCATAGTATCAATTTTGAAAACTGATTTGTTGGAAACCATAGTGTTTATGCACTTTTTCGTAGTCAATCACATTCTTTTTATACACACATATATTTAACTTTTATTTCCTTCTCTCTGGTTTACTTTTGGTTTGTTTACATTTTGATGGATGCATGCGTTTTTGGTGAAAATAAACTGCGATTTGCATTAATCTACTGGTTACATGATTTTTGTGACTCTTAACCTAAATTATTACTTTATGTCAAATGCTTTGCAGCTAAAGCTGTAGGAATCCATTGACAACTAATTGATGAGCTATTAAACCAATACTCTCATCCCAGAAGCAAATTGATGCAGGAAAAAGAGTAGGAGGATTCCAAAACATTAGGATTTAGTTTTAAGTTTGCCAAAAGAGTTTGGAATTTTATTAGGAATTGACTTTTTACTCTTATTGCCTACTTAACTTAGATTTTCCTAAATTCTTAAAGTGATTAAAAGCTAGTTAAATTAGGACTCTAATTTTATTTGCTTTCTGAATTATTTAGGACCGTATAAATGTAATATCCTGCATTCCACACTAATTGTCCCTGGGGGGAACGCTTCCATGTATTCATGGTCTAATAATCTAAAAAGCGCCATGGGTTGCACTTCTGGATGATAGAACTATGGTTTGAGTCATGGATGTGTTAGTCTTGTGGACCCGGATAATTTTTTTCTTTTAAAAGAAAATACATAATATGTTCAAAGAGTATCAGTAGGGCGCAACCCGTGGGCAAAAATATTTATATCTCAAGTAAAAAGTCTATTAGGCCCTCAATATCCTCGACATAACACAGATGCTAGGCCCCAAACAAAAAACAGGCCCAGGCAAAAATATTATGAGTTTAACTGACGAGGATGTGAGTCAGTAGGGGGAGTTTAATACGCCCTTAATGCTATGCTACTAATGCCGTGGAAATTCATGGTATATGCTTGTGGTCAAATGACCTCAAAAACACCACTAAATATTATGTTTTAGTGATGGGTCAGTGATGTTGCTCTGAATTATGTAACCAGTGGCTTCAAGACAAGTAGTAATGGTTGTTTATTGCAGTAATGGTGGTTTATTATTGCTCCCATTATGCCTTCATTTTTTCACTATAGTTTCCTTTTAGTTCGTTTGCTCTGTACGTCGATGAGCACCTGATGGTTGTTACATGCACTGTCTATGAAATTGGCACTAAACATGGTTCTGGTCTATTAAGTATCAAGCGTCCAAATGTTGTTACTGTCTTTTATCATACCTTAAATTTTACAGACTGACAACTTGATGACTAATCTATGAGATTAATTGTTTATATGTCCCGTGCATTCAGTTCTTAGTAAAAGATGATCCCAGTTAGAGCCTTGATACTTTTTAGGATATTATATAATTTTGATAATCCTTCATGGTTGCAATTTTTGCAGCTGATGGGCTAAGTTTTAATTTTTTGAGATTGCTTGTGCAGCCTTGCAATTGGATCCAAATAATGAAGCTGTCAAAGAAAATATTCGGGTTGGTTCTTGTTCTTCTTCTTATGTACATGCTCATGGTTGTATGCATTTATTAATGTCCATATGCATGAGCACATCAATAGGTGAAATGGTTAAGTGGTTAATTATTATTAAAGTTTAATTGGTTGAAAATGATAAATTTTCTCATTTAATTCTAATATGTCCTATTAGAAACCATTCATACCTTGATTTAGATATCAAGTTACCACTCAAACATATATGCTATAACTTAGTAGTGTTTGATCATAAGCATAACAATCCCAATCAATAGTTGTATATCACTGAATTATGGGGTGTCCATGTCTCACGTAGCGTAATGCGCAGCGCACCTGCCCATGGCTTCATGCAGAAAAGGAACCAAGATCCTTGCTGGGTTAAGCGAAATCCCAGTTCTATCAGACCATAGTTAAATACACTTCTGCAGCTCTTGGGTATAACTAACTCAGAGAATATAAATCACTTATAGTACGTAGCTGTTGATAACTAAACAGTATACATATAAAGACAGGTCTTGCAGTCTGTAGCTATTGGCTGTAAGATCTTTTCTCTACTACACTCACAGTTTTACATAGCTCGCTTGTAGCAGCAATTTGAAAAGAGCTACAGAAAAGTGTGGGTTACAGGTTTAATCCCTGTAGCCACCTAGTTGAATGGAAGCCAATCAAGAAAGCAAGATTATTCCTTATAATGAAAGGCCAGGGAGTGAGGATGTGGGAATAGCTGGCTTGCCCATGGCTTTGTGGGCCCAGAAAAGAAATCAAGAACCTTGTTGGGATTAGATAAATTCTGGTTCTATTAAGACCATATTTCTATATCCAATTTGTTGAATACAAGCCAAACCAGGCACGAAGACAGACCAATCCTTATGATGAAAGGCTAGGGAGGGAGGATATGGGAATAGCTGAAACAAGTCTAACTGTCAAGCTATTGGGATTGATCCGTAAGTGTATTTGTATGGATAGTAGGGTAAAGTGTATATTAGTAATGTCCTTTGTTGGTTTTCCTTGTATGATTGTTTGGAACTTGTATATATAGGTCCCTAGTACTCAATAAAATATACAACATTTCATTCTTTCACATGATATCAGAGATTTAAATTAAAAAAACTCTAAATTCTTTTAAAAACCTTATTCGACTTTCATTAGCAAAAAAGAAAAATTGTAGAGAGATGAGGTTAGCATTTATAACAAGCCACCTTATGGTAGCTGCGAGCCACAGCTGGCAGCCATCAGCTTTTCGTTCTTAAATCTTAATTAGTGGTACGTAGAATTTAATTGTTAAAAAGTTTGCATATTGGTTGCATAATTGAAAAAACTCTATTCTTATATTCAATTTCATAATGATGTATTTGTATTTTCACTTGTCAAGGGAGGAGTGACAAAAAGAATTAACTTGAATTAGATGTAAAACTAATATGGAATTAGAATATTTTTATTTAAGCTTCTTATTTGTATTATATTTTCATTCTTATTCATAGAATTGAAAATCAGACTCAACCTTAATATAATGCCTCATCAATTGTTAGCCTTATTCTGTATTCTCTTTTTGGATGCCCCAATTAGAAACTTGAATTCTTATTCATGTGTCAATTTTTAGTCATTTTAACGTATAAGTACTTTTTAACCGGACATTGATTATTTTTGTGGAGCTTATAAGTTAAACAAAAATATGCTAATTAGATACATATTTTATTTATTTTTTTAAGAGTTTATATGTTTTCATGAGTTTATAAACTTCATGTACTTAATAAACTAAAAAATAAACTGACCCAATCCATTCTGTTGCCTCCTACAAGAGTTGAACCCAAGAGTTGAGAGTCAGTTGCCTGATTCTGGTGCTGTTGAAAAGTTAGATTGGCAATTATCTCATAAGTGCGAACTAATAAGATGATCCAGTTTTAATTATTTATGTTTTAACGATTAAAATTGATTTCCATATGTTACTATTGATTTTATTACACTGTTCTTGCAAAATTATTAGGTGGCAGAGCAAAAGTTAAAAGAAGAGCGGGAACAGACAAGACATGATCAGGTGATATGAATTTATAATTACTGTGAAATGGTTTCTAACAATCAAATAGAAGGATGATGCTATCTATTTGCATAATTCTTACAATTTGATGTAAATTTTTTCTGAGTTCTTGTAAGTCATGTCTTTGTTTATAATGAATATCACACAGGTAACATGTTTTCTGAGTATTATTTATACACTTCGACGTAAATTTTATCTTACAGTTCTTGTAAGTCATGTTTTCGTTTATACTGATTATTGCACAAGTAACTTGTCTTCTAAGTTTTACTCGTCGATATGTAATTTTTGCCATATCTTGCTTACCTTGCTTACTGATAATTGTTTCTTTTTTTCCATTGAATTTGTCTTAGTCCCTGTTCATTTTAAACTTACCTGAAATCAGCCTTTCTGACCACGGAGTACTTGGAGTGGACTAACAAATCCTTTACCTTGAATTCATATTAGCATCACAAGATATAGCTTTTCAATTCAATCCATGTGCATAGTTCAGTTTGTTATGCAACTATTTCTATGGAAAAACAACTGTGTTTCTGTTAACAATACCTGTTCTGTTTGTGGCATTAAATGTAAGTTTAATGCACCATTTGTTTGCATTTGCTAATTTCTTATCATTGCCTACTCTCGGTTCCTTTTGTTTATCCAGTGGAAATATATGAAAAGAATTAATCTCCCCATTACAGGGTACAAGCTCAAGTCATAGTGATCAAGAATCCAATAACCATCAACAAGGAGGGGCAAGGAGGCACGGCACACCACCTCCATTTACAATGCCTTTCAATATCAACACCAGTGGGCTTCCTACGGATTTTGCCAGCATGCTTATGAACATGACAGCAAATGCTTACCAGGGACAACCATCTCAGAACAGGCAAGGGGATGATGGTACTGCTAATGAATCAGATGGGCCTGGAATAAGAATTGGTGGGAACATTAATTTGGATTTTGGAGAACAAATGCCTGAGCAGCTAACAGAAGCTTTTAGGTCAATGATGGATATGTTCTCAGGGGCTTCGCAGCAACAGAATTCTGATGGGTCTGCAAATGGGAGTTCGACTGCGAGCTAAGCTGTACTATGGCCTAGTAACAAATGCCAAAATGGCAGCACAGCCAGGAAATTCTCAAGATGCTTCGAGAGAAAAGACCTTAAAATTTTCAAGATGCTCCGAGTAAAGACCGTAGAAATTTTCAAGATGCTCTGAAAGAAAATACCGGCCACAACTGAAACACCTTTGCTTTCTTTATTTATTTGTTTTTGTATTATTATACAAGTTTGTAATAGAATTTTAGTTTCACTAACAATTTTCACCATCCCAGCGAGTATAAGCAATGTTCATTTGTGACAAAAATGAAAATTCATAGGCTTGCAGCTTTTTCAAGATTCTCTTTTGGGAAAGTCATGGAAATTCTTGGGCCTGAAACTTGACTCCTGATCAGCAATTGTTATGCTCCATGCGCTGGCATTATTCTTGGGTTACCATCAAGTATCTCAACAGCTTCTAAAGGGATCGATGCAACTCCACACCTTCGTTGCAACTGACATTGTTTTTAGTTAGGAATCTACACTACTTGTGTGTGTATATTATATAAGACATCTTGGACATTTACGAATTAATGTGCGCTCGATGTAAACCGAGGCTACATAGCCACGGGATCGGAAATGGATGAATAAAATTCGAAAACAAAATTAACATTATCTTTTGAAAAGAAAATAGATAAATATATATTTAATTTTTTAAAAAAAGAATTTGCAAGTTAAAAATATAATTTTTCAAATGGAATATTATTATAAACTTCATTTATTCAACTGGCTGCTGACAATTTGATTTAGATCAATTTGTGTTTCAAGGAAAGAATTTTGTTAACTTGGGATATCGTATAACGTACTTTTGATAACAATTAAAGTCAATAATTATAATAAGTAAACTTGAGGGAATGTAATTTAATTTCAATCCGACGTATAATTAAACTATAAATTATTTTTTTAATTAACAGGTAATAGTATTTATTTTTTCGTTAATACGGATAAACTCTATATCTAATAACTAGTCTAAGATATTCTAAAGAATATTATTAATAACACCAAAGCTTACATTAAAAATTGTACCCAAAGAAAATGTCCAAACTAGATATGATAATGGTCAATTAATTATATACATAAATAACAACCGTCTATTCAAACAACAGTTAAATAATTAGTTGTTTATAGAAGAGTCTCTATATACTTTATATAAAAATATAATTATTTATATTTACAATTTAAAATTACAGTCTGTGGCTCTTTTTTTAAATAAAAAAAAATAATGTTATAAAATAAAAAATTGGCAAACTTAAATGTACTTGTTGTCGTGTAGGGTCTCTTGAATTTAAAAGCTACAAGTAGTTTCCACTGCATGGCACCTGGGCCTCATGCACCATATCCAGCACTCTCCTTCACCCGATTCAACGGTCCAGATCACCTCCGCAACCTAACTAAAACTGCCACGTGTATGGTCCTAAACAACCCAACTCCTCTTCTCAGTTTTGTTTTTTTTTTTTATAGTCCCACGAAACCCGCAACATCAAAATTAAAGAAAAATACACGAAAACAGAATCGCACAGCAGAGGCAGAGGGTTAAACAGTAGACTATTCCTTCCTGAAACTCCAAGTTCCCTACTCTCGATCTCTCCGCCCAAGCTCGAAAACCACCGTACAAGCCACTTTTATTGACGCCATTGTTTTGATCCTCTCTCAGTCTCTCTCGTCTCCTCTACTTATAGCTTGAATCTCGGTAATGACGCTCGTTTCACTTCTTCTTCTCCTCTTATTTCCTGTATTCTGAAGGTAATTTGCTTCATTCGTCCGCTTTCTGTTTTTAAATGTGTTCTTTCTTCTTACTGTTGTTCCTTTCCTTGGTTTCTGTGGCTTAACTTTGTTTGGTATCTGGTATCGTTTCAAATGTGCCTTGTTTGGTGAGCAGAGCTGAATATGTATATGGTTCTTTTCTTTTCATGGAAGAAAGTATTTAATTGACCATGCGATTTTTAGGACTTGTTACTTTTCTACAGTGTTCTTTGTCATAGTGTTCTATAAATATAAGCAACACTGACTAGCAGATTTCTCTGTCTTTATATATATATATATATATATATATATATTTATGGCTCCTTGGATTTAAGGTGTTTATTTCTTTTTCATGACTTGCTTGTTTTTTTTTTTTTTTAAATGTTTATGTTGGTGAAGACTTGATAGCTCTCTGAGGCTTGGGAGTGATTGAATTTACTGTACATAGATTAGCTATTTCAACTTCTCTAGTTATGACTGACGCTTATTTTTGCACATGCTTAATTCGTTACTTGCTCTAGTAAAGCAAGGTATTTCTGCTGATATGTTTTACCTGTTCATTATTTAGCAACGCATTCAATTTGTTTGTTTTGGATATACTTTCTCTGTATTTTGAGCTAATGGGCATGATTGAATGTGATTCTATCTTCAGCACCTGAGTAGGTAGATCTGTTTTGGGGGCACAGAATCCTCAAAAGATGAGTGCCTATTTTGTTGGTGCCCTCATCCCTCTTCTAGTGACTTTTTTCTTTCGAAATTCCAAGAATGTGAAAAAACGAGGGGTGCCTGTTGATGTTGGTGGGGAACCTGGGTATGCTATTCGAAATTATAGGTTTGAGTCTCCTGTAAGTTCAGCTTGGGATGGCATTTCCACTCTTGCAGAACTTTTTGAGCAGTCTTGCAGGCAATACAGATATAAAATCTTGCTTGGAACTAGGAAGTTGATTTCAAGGGAAATTGAAGTAACTGAGGATGGAAAATCCTTCGAGAAGCTTCATTTGGGAGACTATGAGTGGTTAACTTATGGGAGAGCATTTGAATCTGTATGCAACTTTGCTTCTGGCTTAGTTCAACTTGGTCATAAAAGGGAGGAACGTGTGGCCATCTTTGCAGATACAAGAGAAGAATGGTTTATTGCATTGCAGGTGCTTAGCCCACATACCCTATTACTTTCAAGATGACTGTCCTTTGATGAATTTCAGAGTTATATTATCTATAGTTTATTCAAGATTTTAAGGGAACTATTAAAAGAAAATGCCATGTAAAATATAATAAATTGAACTATTTTGCTTTCGAAGATTTGTTTCCTGGCAATTGGATGTACTTGAAGATGGTGGCATTGAAGTCCACACAGATTGTACAATCTGTAGGAAAGATGAATCCTGCATGTGTTTTGATTGATTAGAATATAACTGATGTGGTTTTCTGTTGTCAGGGTTGTTTTAGGCGCAATGTCACAGTGGTGACTATCTATGCGTCTCTGGGGGAAGAGGCCCTTTGTCACTCATTAAATGAGGTTCTCTCTCTCTCTCTCTATATATATATCTTTCTTCCTCTCTTTCTCTCCACCTCCTCTCTGTATATATATCCTTGTTGGCACCATAACAATGATATATCTTATATATATAAGCATGTATACAATTATTCTTGGCATTTGTGATTGGTTTTGTTGGAAATTGATGTTTATTTATACAATATACTTGTAAAATGTCTGTCACTAGTATGTTTGACAATAGACCTGATTCTATGTAGTACTTGATGAAAATTCCTTAAGTGGATGTATCAGTTCTTCCCAATTTCATATTTTAATAGAAGTTTGTAATTTAATTTGATCTGGTAACGTATTCTTCAAGTTATCTCTTCTCTTTTCTGACATGTAGTCAAATAATGTATTTAGTTGGCTAACTAGACACAAATTCTTTGGTTATAGAGAACAATCACTACTGGATTTGTGCTCTGAATTTTTACTGCTGGAATTTAAAGTTTTAGCTACCACTCGAGCAATTATGATTGGCTTGGATTTCTAAGTTTTGTTTTACCGTGTTGTTCATTTATCTTTGTTTCCAGACAGAAGTTACAACTGTGATTTGTGGGAGCAAAGAACTGAAAAAACTTGCAGACATAAGGGGACAACTTGACACAGTCAAACGGGTGATATGTATGGATGATGAGATTCCATCTAATGGGCAGAGCGGCAGCTGGATGATCACTTTGTTCTCTGATGTTGAGAAACTTGGCCGAGAAAATCCTGTTTATCCTGATTTACCTCTTTCAGCTGATATTGCAGTCATAATGTACACAAGTGGGAGTACTGGATTGCCCAAGGTTAGATTCATCTCTACTGTGCTTTTAATTTTTATCTTCTGTAATACTTGCTCATCTTTGTTCCAGATAAAATCCTAATTGTTTCTTAATGGTTGATTTTTGATAAGACAATAGCTTCCAGATAGAATAAGAAAAGCTAACAGAACCTTTCTAAATTCTGATAAACTCATGATTCCTCAAATCTATCTTATATTAACTAGATAAGCTAAGTAAGCTAAAGACAAAATAAAATTGTAAAATACATAACTATTACGTACAATATTTCCTAACACTAAAAAAAGTAAAAAAGACTAAAATGGTTTTTCACTTTAATCTCTCATCCTGCATCTTTGCGTCTCTCTGCTAATATATTTTCTGAGAGCAACTCTTTGCTAATAAAGAATTTAAGAGATGATTGAAGTCCTTCAGGCTTGTTGTTTTCTGGAAAACAGTAGTAATCTCCCTTTTGAGGAGAAATGTCACTTTCCTAGGATGTCGTGAATTCTTTCGCTCTTAACTGTTACAAAATAATTCTTTATGCCTTAATCATTTGGCTTTTAGATGGTACCAAATATGTTTGTTCCTTGTTTTTATTTGTTTCATTAACTATGTTCCTCCTTCTGAGATTACAGATAATACTTTAGATATAAAAAGCTTAAGAAAGCATTGGATTGTGGAATGTACTTTCGGTCTTGTGGGCATGTGACACAGGATAAGGAGAACTTGAACGGAGAAGTAGAAATAAATTAAACAAAGAACGAAAACTGAAGATCTTGGATCTCAAGAAGCAACTCAATATTCTGAATATTATCTAATGATATAACAGAAGCATTCTGTTATCTAAAAAAAAAAAGATATAACAGAAGCATTCTGAAATAATGCTAGGGATACTCTTTGTGTAAGCACTAGCATACATCCAAAAATAGAAAAATAGAACACATAACACAATAGGAATCCTTAGTAGGAAGTGCTAATGCTAAATTCCTAGAATGGAAATTAACTAAATTTTGTGGATAATTCTTAACCTCATAAACTATATAATAATTCTGAAGTAAGCTAAATATTCCTAATAAGACATGGACCATCATAATAACATACTTATTTTGATAATATTTCTTAGTACTAAAATTCTTCTATTTTCGAGTCTTCTGGTTCTGCATCAGTGTGTCTTGGATCATAATCTTCCTTATGATTATAAGAAATCAAAACATCTAAGTAATTGCTTTACAATTAATCAGATATCTATCAGCATGATATTTAAATCTTCAGAAGTTGGGAAATGATTATTTAAGTATATTCCAGAGTATTAATTCCTGTTTCATCACGTCTATATTCTATAGGGGGTAATGATGACACATGCCAATGTGCTAGCTGTAGTTTCTGCTGTCATGACAATCGTTCCTGGCCTTGGAAGCAAGGATGTTTACATGGCATACTTACCCCTGGCGCACATCCTTGAATTAGCAGCTGAGGTAATGAGGATTTGCATGGATGAATTGTCTAACTATATTTCCTATTGGTGGATACTTTCAACCATTCTGAATTATATAAGAGTCATTTACTAGAGAGATGCATTTCTCATCGAAAGATTCTGGGTTTTTTCCTGCATTTTCACTCTCAATTTTGTGGTGGTTCAAATTTGCTAGCTGCACTTGGTTGAGCTAACAACTCCTTAAGCCTTACAATTGCATTTTAAATTGCTGTTTGCACTAAAATTAGCATGGGTTTATTTTTTTTTGAAATAAAAATTAGCAAGGGTTTATTAAGCAGACAAAACTCCAAATAAGGATGCTGTAAAACTGTAGGAGGCAATTTTTTCAATTGAAATTTCAGGGTGCAAATTATGACAACTCTCAGAATTATTAGGTGGAAGAGGATAAGATCTATAAAAGATAATTTTCTTTTGCAGTATGTTTTAACAGGTTTAACCATTTGTTATGTAGAATGTAATCGCTGCTGTTGGAAGTGCTATAGGATATGGTTCCCCTTTGACTCTTACTGACACATCAAACAAGATAAAGAAAGGAACAAAAGGGGATGCCACAGTCTTGAGGCCAACAGTGATGACAGCTGTTCCAGCAATTCTTGATCGTGTAAGAGATGGTGTGCGGAAGAAGGTTTGTGGATTTTTGCATGCAAACATAGAGACATATAGTTGTTCCTTGAGAACCTGTTTTTGAAAATAATTTCAATTCCATGAATAGTGAGTATTCGTAATTCAGGTAGATGCAAAAGGTGGGTTATCAAAGAAATTGTTTGACTTGGCATATGCTCGTCGACTGTCTGCAATTAACGGGAGTTGGTTTGGAGCTTGGGGCTTGGAAAAGCTTCTTTGGAACTTTCTTGTGTTCAGAAAGGTTCGAGCAATTTTGGGAGGTCGCATCCGGTTTTTGCTTTCTGGTGGTGCTCCTCTTTCTGGTGATACTCAAAGATTCATCAATATTTGTCTTGGGTTAGTATGGTTATAAAATGTTCTATCTGGACTTTGTGAAAAAAGCATATTTTCTGAGTTTATGTACAGTAGTACCCTATGGCTGTGGATAAAGTGAAAACTAATCTCATCTATTTTTGCTCATTAGGTGGACCCAGGGTTAACATGAAGAGTGTTAACAAATTCTAACATGCTGAGTTTTAGCAAACACCAAATAGTGTATTTTACTCTAGCATAGAGTGTCTTAGGCTGTCCTTATTGTCAGACAATAAATGTTGCTTCCTTAATCCTTAGCAATGATAATAATAGGTATATTTATTGTTAGAATCAACCATTGCATTAATCTATAAAATAAAGCTCTTAGAGTAGTAAAAGTGGTTGTGACTTCTTTCTATATTTCCTTTATGGTTTATTGTCCGATTGTAAGCAAAATGTGTGTTGGAAATTGTGTCTGTATGGTAAGTAGGGTAGGTGGTATATTAGTAATATACTCCTCCCATGTAATTACTAGTATTTCCTTTTATTGCTTATAAAAACCTGTATATATATATAGGGCCCTATTATTCAATAAAATTTATACTTTATTCTCCACAACATGTTCTCTTGTGAATCGGTTAAAGACATCAGATATGATGGCAGGATTAGTGCTTTTAGTAAATATTTATTTTGAATTGATGCAAGATCAAAGCTTTTATTTAAGGCTGGTCCCTTGCTTGGTAAATGGTGAAGATTGGTGTTTCATGATTGAATTAGTATTTCATTGATGGCAATGGATGGAATTGCTATGCTCAAGCACAGGCATAAGTGTACCATTTGTTATCCTAGTTCTCACCCATGCCATTTAACTACAATCTGTATTTGATGTGGATGCTTGCAGAACAGTCACATTTATTGTTTCTTTGGAAACTTGATCTCATAAAATCAGTTCTTGTGATAATAATAGTTAAGAAACAGTCTTCTGCCAAATAAGGCAGCTTATACAGATAGTCGATAAAAGCAGCTTATACAGATAATTATAAATGTCATTAGATGTCTTGATAATGACATGCGGGTACATCTACTTGTCATAGAGAAAACAATTTAGCAGGAGTAATAAATAAGATTACAAACTAAGAGCCTGTTTGGGCTTTATTTGAAGAAAAGTGTGTGAAGCTTTGTGTCAGGGGGGAAAAATTGGTTGGAGTTGAAGCAGCTTATAAGCAATTTTAACATTCTAAAACCGTCTTTTGGAGGACGTCTTGTTCTCTTTAATAATTTTTTCCTTCTTTCTTTTCTAATAATGTTTCTTCTTTTATATAGATATATAAAGAAAAAAAAAGTATTCCCGTCCAAATGGCTGGAGCACTACAATATTTTTGGTTATTGTAACTTGGAGAAATTCTTAACACCTGTACTGTTATTACTTATGAAGGATACATGAAGATTTTCATCCGTTGGTATCTTGTTTATCTGTTAAGAAATAGAGGCTAATAAGTCCATCTTTCTGTGCTACATTTTATCTTGTTTTTTGAGCTTAGTTTCCCAATAATTTATTCCTTCTCTGAGAATTGTAGCCTTAACTGCTTGATGTTTTCCAGTGCTCCAATAGGTCAAGGATATGGTCTCACTGAAACTTGTGCTGGTGGGACCTTCTCTGAGTTTGATGATACATCTGTTGGTCGTGTTGGTGCACCACTTCCTTGCTCATTCATTAAGGTAAGACAGGATCATTTTACTTAGAAGTGTTTGAACAAAACTCCAGGGCTCCGTCCATTTTTTTCAGAAAATCTATGAGATTACAAGTCGTGAATGGTGGTTGGTTTCTGAATGGGATTTGAATGTTGACTTATTTCTAGGTCTTAATGATTTGTCTATACATCTAGCAGTCGATGTTTAAGTTGAACAGTTAGCATCAACATGTGAGACAAACTGCATGTTCTAGATTCGAAAGCATATTTATCATTTACTAGTTAGAGCCTGGAGAGTGTCCAAATGTTTGGATAATAATCTTGAGATTCAGACTGTCATCAGAAGGATAATCATAGCCTTTTTTGAAGGCTTTGGCTGCCAGTCTACACCAATCCTCTTCCTGTCCTATCCTTCCCATTTGTTTCATTGATAGTCGAGATTGAAGTATGAAAATCACAATTTCTTTCATCTCCTCCTCTCTCTGTATACACCTGCACATCCAAACACTAACTACCCTACCCACCCAAAAGAAATGGTTTCTCTAATTCCTTATGGGTTTAAATTGGTCTTTGCATCCCCAGTGCTCAAATTTTCATTCTTCCTAACTTTCTTGGACATGGATCTCTTACAATATATAAATGATGCTATGCACTGAATCTGATTCTTTGTACACGAGACATCTTGTTTCTGCAATATCTCAAGGTTTTTTGTTTAAATTTTTCCTTTAAAGCTTTAAGGGTCGTTTACTTGAAGGGGTAAAATGACATTGCAATATCCCAGGGTTTTTTCAGAGATTTGTTGCTCCTAGGAATAAAATGGCATAGATTGGAAATCTAAAACCCATAGAAGGGGGTGGATATCTTCCATTCCCATACTTAGTTTGACTCTTCTACCAAAATATCCTTATTTTTTCATCCAAAAAGACAGAGATGATCTAACTTCCTACTTAACCATCAATTGCAAAACCCTTTTCTTCTAGTCATGTTTTTTTGGCAAAACAAGCTTCCAGAAGCAGGCTAATCTCCTAAACATGTGATGCATAAAACTTCCAAATGTTTTGTCCCATATGATTTAGATTAACTGCAGTTCAATCCTTTTAATTCTCTTTGTGATAGTTCAGTATCATGCGGTTTGGTTTTTTTGCTATTATACGTAAGATCATTATTTTTTAAGGCTATTATGTTGTAATTGTTTTGGGGTTTTTCCTAATTTTGATTTGCTTAAACTTTAAACTCGTTAGAATCCAGACAAGCGCAAGTATCATTCTTAAAACAAAAGATTTATGTAAATCAAATCACTGTATACTAAACTGACACAAGGCAAAGCACAGAGATTGAACTGCAATTAGGCTAAGCAACAGGGATCACACTTATATTTGTGCAAAGATAACTTGAAAGTAGTGTCGTCCAAGTAGCTCGGTGGAACTTTTGTTAAAAAGACCATATTGGGTGCTTATTTGATGTTATGTGTTTTTTTTTTTTTTTTTTTTTTTTTTTAAATTTGAACCACTATATTATCAAATACTTAATGAGTACTTTTTAGTGAAGGCAAGAAAAATATTTTCCTAATATTTTCAGAATTTTCATGAGATTTCCTATTGAACTAAATAAAAGTATTCTATATACCTTAAAATCTTTGTAAGCTAAATGAACCAATCTATTTCCAAATATTGGTATTCTAACCCAAGAAAATGAATTCACGATAAGTGATGCACGTAAGGGATCCTCAAATCTGTGAAGTGAACAGTTCCTTGAGATTATGATTTATTCTTATTAATTTGATTATCTTATATTCTTAAGTTAATCATGAATGTCCTTACAGTTCAACAGATTTATATTCATCATGTAACACAAAATTTATTTCCGTATCTATTTTTTCTTTAAAGAACAATTTTTATTTCAGTTAGTAGATTGGGCAGAGGGTGGATATTTAGTTAGTGATTCTCCATTTCCTCGTGGAGAAATAGTTATTGGTGGTCCAAATGTTACACTCGGATATTTCAAGAATGAAGAGAAAACAAAAGAAGTTTACAAGGTAAGAGTATTGATTTTAATATGCCTGCTCCGTTTTTTCTCAAGTAATGTGGATGCACTTTTTCCTTTTTATCGGGATTTGTTAATTATACTGTTTCTTTTTTCATTATGAGAAGGTTGATGAGAAGGGAATGAGATGGTTCTATTCAGGTGACATAGGGCAGTTTCATGCTGATGGCTGCCTTGAGATAATTGACCGTAAAAAGGACATAGTTAAACTTCAGCATGGAGAATATGTTTCCCTTGGAAAGGTAAAAGTGTCCACAAACTAAAACAGAAGAAAAAACCGTTTGGTCATTCCTAATAAGGGATTGAATATCTCTCACAGGTTGAGGCTGCTCTCATTGTGAGTCCGTATGTTGAAAATATTATGTTGCATGCTGATCCATTTCACAGTTACTGTGTGGCTCTTGTGGTGGCTTCCCAGCCTGCTTTGGAAGATTGGGTTTCAAAGAAAGGAATTGTTTATTCTGATTTTGAAAATTTGTGTCAAAAAGAAGAAACTGTGAAGGAAGTCCTTGCATCGCTTGTTAAGGTATGTAATGTTCTCCTGATCAGAATTAAAATTAATTTAGATTTAGGGAGGTGTGAAGGGAATTAATTTGAAGTTCTCGTCGGCTTTTCTCTGTTGCGGTAAAAGCTCTTAAAACTCAGTAGACTCTGAAAATATCTTTATTGCACCTGTAAATTTTCAAAAATTTTCTTATATACATTAAGGAATTTATTTGGTGTGAATAGCCTGTTCGGAGACACTGGTATATGTTTAGACTCGTTGGAAAAGAAAGGGTTGATGCTTCTTGTTACATGTGGCCTCCATTAGCCACAGAATCATGTTCTTTTTACTTTAACTAAAAAATCATGAAGTCCCAGTGTTTTTTGCTGGGGTTTCGTATGTGCTTTGCTCCCAAGTGGACCTTCACTTAATAAATTTCTTTTCTGCAAAGTCTCATTTTGATTGAGTAGCTTTGATGGTCATTTCCTTCTCACATTAAGCTGTTTGCCACATTGAAAAAACACTTTTTCACTTGTGCACCTTGATCAATTATGGATTTAAATTTGGGATTTTTCCATTTTTGGCTCTAATGTTTTTCCCTCATACTTCTAGGTGGGCAAAAAATCGCGCTTGGAGAAGTTTGAGATCCCTGCAAAGATCAAGTTGCTTTCTACTCCATGGACTCCTGAATCTGGTTTAGTCACTGCAGCGCTGAAGCTGAAAAGAGAAGTCATCAGGAAGACATTCTCTGAAGACCTTGCTAATCTATATTCATCATAAATTTTGGTACACTCCTTCTTGTATGGAATTTTAGATTATGTTGTTGAATTAGTCGTACTCAATTTTCCTTTCTCTTTTCTACTCCTCTTGGTTAGACTTGGTCATAGAAACTACAAAAAGATATATCATTGTTTTTTGCGTACTTGGGCTTTTTACAGAGTTAATAGCTTCAATTTGTAAGATAATGCCGAATAATGAAATTTGATCTCTTATCAGTTTCCATTAACCCTACTGAATTGATCTATGAGATGAAAACCGTGCTCTTACGCTTTGTGATCTTGACAGGTAGCAAACAAGCTGTATGAAGAAACCATATACAAGCTCCCCAAAAACTGGATCTCTGTTCTGGTTGGTGCTTGTACCACTGTCAATCCACTTTTTTTCAGTCTACACATATCAATATTGGATCCAACAGGAGTCGATTTTCTTTTTCCTTTTTTTTTTTTTTTGGAGAAACAACAGGAGTCAATTTTCAGAGTATAGAAGAGTCAATAGTACTTTTATAATATAATATATATATTTACATATATAAATAAAGGAAAAAGATAAGCAAGGGGTGAGTTGGTTGAGAGAAAGTTAAGAGGAAGATTAAAATAAGTGGTGGTGAAGGAAAAGGAGGAGACCCACAATTGCCCATAACCAAACTTTGGTGGGTGATGTGAACTTGACTTTAAGCTAACCATTATGGAAACAGCCACCCCTTCTCCCCATGTGACTATTAGCTTCTTTGTTTCTGTCACTTTTTTAAGCCTTTTAGTATGTTTCATCCCTACCTCTTATGAATATCACTTTTTATTTTCTTTTCTTCTTCCACAATCACTTTCTCCTCTTCTCACATATCCACATTGACATGATAATTTGTATCGTTTCCCAGGATGCTATTCGTCTTGTTTAAATTTTTCGAAAATTTCTATTAAGCGATCTCGTTCAAAATGATAATAAATTTTCTACTCCTAAATCATGATTATATTGTAATCTCATACGCAACATAGAAAGCATAAACTTCCAAGTTCCTTAATTTGATGTGCCTAGATTTTAGAGAAGTTAACAAATGTAGTAATTCTTTGTCGTTGTACGAAACAAATAGAGTTCCGAGTTCATCCGTTAAAAGTATGGGAAGCACATGTGGTTCATGATGGAGAGAAATGCAAAATTGAGAATGAAGATTTTGATGATGCCAAGAAGACTACCAAACCAAGCTTATGTTAGATTGCTTTGGGTTACTCCAATACCCTACACACCTTGTGCCTTTTCATGACTTTCAAATCAAGTGGGAGTCGGAAATTTTGACTTTCTTACCATCAAAATCCATTCCCCATTCTTGCTTTTTTCCAACCTAGGCCTCCCTCTTAGCCACCAACTCAAATCACCCAAATTTTGGTTACCCAATTTTGCTCTCCACAGCACCAATTTCAACAAGACCCGTGTCTTTTTATCCATGGGTGAGAATTTTATCAGTAACTATTAAAATCAAATAATTATAATAACCACCGGATTCAAAGACAAATCTTGATTAGTTGGTTTAATCCCCAAATTAAAAAAGGGAAGCATCAAAATTTATAATAGAGGAAAGGTAGTCTTCCGTTTGTTGAAATAACCCAGAAATTTACACCCATCTCATATTTAAACATTACTCAAATCAAAGTGAAATAATTAGATTCTAATTAGTTTTAATCATTGTGAGTTTTTCTTTAGAGTTAATTGAATGAAAAAGTAGTTTATCACTAAAAAAAAAAGAGGAATTAGAAAGTAATCTAATTTGAGAGTTTGAAACTTGACTCGTTGATAACTTAATCACCAAAATAGAATAAAATAAAATAACTAGATAATTAGTCGGAGTTAATTTATGTGTATATACTTATACGTATATAAAAAATTTGAAAAAATTTACCATTATTGAAATATTATCTAGTAAATTATTAATAACTATAAAGAAAAGGTTTGAAAAAAAAAAAAAAAAAGATATGGCTTTTGAGCAGAAAAAAGTTCCTTGCAACTTCCTTTCAAATAAACATTGCCCCAACTTATATATATATATATACACACACATACGTATGTTGGTGGGTCCATTATCATAATGATATCTCTCTACCATATATAAATGACCCAACAAATTTAATGCAGTTATATATAAACTGGTATCTCTATTCACTTCTTATCTCCAACTTCAGTTTACAAATCTTCTATCCCTAAGTTTTCTAACTCTTTCCACTTCAAACTTTCTGCAACTCTTCATATATATGATGAATGGATTATACAGAGAAGACAATTCATGCTGCTACTTCCACCCAAAACAGATTGTTGTGGGCGTCTGTGCACTGTGCTTAAACGAAAGGCTACTCATCTTGGCTGCCAAGCAATCTCACGGCCGCCGTTCGTCGTCGTCGACGTCCTCTGCCAGATCCAGCGGCCGGAAAAATATTCAAACCAACTTTCCCAAGATCTTTGCTTTCACTTCACTTCTCAGCCGGCAATGGAAGTCTGATCACAACTCTCATCATCATCACGATGCAGCCTCCACCAGTCACGAAGGTATCATTATTCTTGCTTAAATTATCACGACGCCATCAACACAGTCAGATATACATACATATATGTCTGTATTCGCATGTGGGTGTCTGTATATATCCATGCGTAGAGTTAAAGTTTATTGTGAGAAAAGAGTGGTCTCCAAGACAACTCCAAGCATATATTATAACTAACTAACTCCATTAAATCTAAGGGGCAGTCAATTGGAGATTAATTAATGACAGTATATATATATATATAGATCATCTTTTCTATTTTTGATTTCAGCTTTCAGCAAATCTATAAATATTTTCTTACATATGATTATACATGTATAATGCTGAGATTTTGGGTAGATCAGTTGGAATTTTCTTAACTAGGAAAGAAAAAATCAGAATAATTGTTTTAGACTT